ACACACACACACACACACACACACACACACACACACACACATACACACACACACACACACACGTTGAAGTTGGCATTGTGTATATCTAAACTTAATTAGAATGATTCATCGAAATATTTCGTCGACTGCATTCAGAAAATGTAGCACAAAATGAAATCAGCTGTAACTGAACCTTAATGTATATCAAAGGAAACAGTGGAAACTGGACATGATGCATTTCTGGAAGTGTTCTCTTCCAGTCTCATAAATTTTTGTAAATTAAAATTTCGTTGAAAATCTTAAAGTGTAATAATGCCAATAAAAGATAAGCATTGATACCTAAATTATCTTTGATCATTAGGGCAAAAAATTTGTCCGGCACTTTTTACTAATCATATATGAAGGAAAACAGAGATGATAACAATCAATACTCGTTATTATATGAGCCATGTTAGTAATTATCAGGATAATTATTTTCTCTTTCAAGAAAATTTTCTTTGGGACAGAAATGCTTCTTCACTTTTTTTTTTCAGGACACAGTGATCGTAGAAATCCAGAAGATGGTTAGGAAAAGAACCAACAAACTGTATTGTAAAGTTCGACTTTGATCTAAAGCCAGGAATGTCAGCTTAATGAGATCAGTGGATCGATTTTAATCTGAAAATTTAAACTTCATCGATCAATATCTCAGCTATTAGTACCAACTTCTTCAATCATCATTTAATATGGAATAAATTAATTTATGGTACTGCGAGCATTCCATTTCATATTTGAAATTTATAGGAATAATTTTTCGATTCATACCAATAGAAAAGGTATATAGCCATCGCAAAATATACTGAACCGATTGTTTCCAAGTGGAAGTGCAACACAGGCTCCCTTCTACATATGTAGAAAGAATTGTTGCTAGGAAAGGAAATATCATCTTCTCGGTTTCATTTCAACTTCTTCCGTTCTAATCTTCCAATCTTGCATTTGCTGAGCTATCACCTATGATAATAATCTTCAACTGCTTTATTCTGTTTTCCTTGTCAAATTGGAAAGGTGAAAGTCTGGACTGCGAATAAATTTGATTAAATCTGTTCATTTCTGAAAACTGAATGAATTAAGAATTGCTATTTCAATATTTAACTCCTATGCATCATCCAATAGGATTTACGTTGAGTCTAATATTTCCCGAAGATAAACAATTTAGATGTTATGAAAAATTAAAAGAATCAGGCCACTTATGGGATGCTGACTTACTCGTCAACGATTTGCAATTTGTTTTGTGTATCTGTCAACTGTCTTGAAATTCTCCGCAAAAACCAGTTATCTGGTCATATTTATCTAAAATTCCAGTTATCTTTTGAGGAGTTTTAGTGCTCTTGTAGATAGTTGATCATTGCAATCAATAAGAAAATTATTTTTTTAGGCTATAAAAATTTATTTGGGAGAAATATGACCGAATAATGGGACTGAAATGAAAAATAGCGTAACGACATGGGGATCTTTAGCACAAGCGCTTCTTTGATGAAATTAACTATTTCAACGACTGACTTACAAATCCAATCACAAAAGAATGGTTCACTTCAAGTGTTTGTGTAAAATCAATTAGAAATTGATGTTTTTTCTTCTTTTTTTTTGAGATAATTGTGAATTGCTTATTGTTTTAGAAACGTAGTACATTATAGTTTGAAAAAAAAAACATTGTAGCAATAAAACTAAGCAAATTTGGCACAAATTTGATTCTTCATCCGAAGGCCGGTGTTAGACATTCCTTGCTTGATAGGATTTGATACATTAAGGAGAGAATCCGGAAATGAGTTAGTAGGACTTTAAACAATAGATACTGTCACTAGCTAAGATTCGTCTAGCGAACTGAATGAAAAAAGCGAAAATTGCTGCATTAGTTATTTAATTATTTGGACTTTTTATGTATTCCAATTAAGTGATAATGCGGTTTCTTATATCAATTTCTCTCTCTCGGCATTAGTTCTTATTTTATTTCTTCAACTTTTTCATAGACTGTTTCGCACTCGCTGAATTAGTTCTTATTTTATTTCTTCAACTTTTTCATAGACTGTTTCGCACATTACTTTCATTGCTGCTTTGTACAGTATTGCGAGGAACGTATATCAACTTTCGTTTGTAAGGGGCACATTTCATTTCACCACTTTCTATTGCAGATTTAGAATAGCATCACTAGAAAGGTAAAAGTTTTTTTCTGCATGAGCAGCTAATTGAAGAAATTAGAGGATATGATCGGACTTATAAATAAGAGGGATGGTATCTCATATTTTGTATTTGCTATCGACACAGCGATCAATCCGAACGCAACTGCAGCATGAACAACAGAAGCAAAGTCAAAGCAATGAAAGGTCAACATCTAAGAATTAAGTCAAATCCTTCTAACACTGCATAGAATAGCTGGAAATTCTAAGTTGTCTTCAGCCATTTTAGACTGATTAAATGCAGCACTCTGCAGATAAATCTACCGAGCCTGGAATTCGCTTTCTCCAACATTCATCCATTATTTTCAAATAGAATTTTTACAATATCTAACAGACGGGGTGATGAAATCTTGAAAGTAAAATTAAAGCAATGAAGAGAATGTAAGCTAACAATGGGCAGCATAACACAAAGAGGCCTCAGTATCTACAACATGTACAATAACATTCATTGTACAGTGGACAATGCCAAGGGGCAGGCCGTACCTCCATGATGACCTCGATGGAGCTTACAAAACTTCTCTCTAATCCTCATATATATACAATAAAGAAAAATCCGAAACTGTTTAGTTTTTATAACTAAGCAGACAATACATGCTCTTCGCATATCCTCCACGAACGAATCAAAAACAACGACATCTTCGCATAGCCGCAACCACTGGACAACAAGCTACAGTATTCTTTCTATTTCCTAAATACATTTCCTGTAGCATATCCCTAACTCAACGACCTATCTATCAATTAACCGACAGTCAAATTATTATCGAAAGCAACGACAAGGAATTTTTTGTTGATCATATCGCTTG